TTCATACCTGCTCTTGTATTTTCCACTCCATGCATCTGATGAAGTGGATTCTAGCCCACGAAAGCTTATGCCCAAATAAATTTGTTAGTCTCTAAGGTGCCACAAGGACTCCCCGTTGTTTTTGCTGATACAGACTAATGGCTACCACACTAAAACTTTCTCCATGGGAATTTTAGACATTGACAGAAATAGAGGGGAGGATTTTTTAATTTTGCAGCCAGCTCTGCCATAATGCAGGGTGTATAGGAGGGATTTCAATCCTTAACAGGGTCGGTGTGCACACCAGCCATGGCCAAAGCTATGCTGTGTAAACAGGCCATGGTGCTGGGGAAGCATGCTGACTCTAGTCTGTCCAGCAGCAGCTTAGGGGTTTGAAACATTTAAACAGACCTTCCCAAAAAAAGTAATTCTGTAGAGGGAAAGAATGAAATTAAGATCGTGCTGGTGTAGAAATAGGTAACTCAGGGATTTTAGTTTTAGGAGTTACAAGTAGCAGAAAAGACAAATGCAGACAGGATTTGAAGAGGATTTAAACTGGCTCCTCCTAAGAGCATGGTCCCCTGAATTCAGTGATTCCCCTCTGTGAATGTCTAAGTAAAGCTCTGGAGCGTCTGCCATGCTCCCCTCACCCTGGCATAGTTCTGTGTCTTGAGGCATGAATGATCCTGCCATGGGCCCCAATTTCCCCTTCACCACCTTCCTCCTCATAGCAGCTGTCTCTACTCTGCCTGCATCTACCCCTGGCAGCTGCATGATACTCTGGTGTCAGGGTGGCTGATGGTACAATGGAGAGTGTAAATGTCTAGCTCCAATCTGTGCAGGTTTAATGGTGATTTCCTACAGCTGCCACAAGTGGGCTCAGTGGATGCCCGCTGCTGATGATGGGAAAGGCAGGGCACCATATTCATGCTTTGGGTCAGAACTTCAAATTGGGCTTTGGGGCTGTAATCAGCTGTACTGCAGTCCCCCACGGCTTGGTGCTGTCTGTATAGCAAAGAACTGGAGCCTTCTCCAGAGAGCTTACCAGGGTGTGTGTATCGGTTCAGGTCTGCTGCTCCTGTCAGGCTCCCTGCTCTTCACCAGACCATGCGGTCTCTCCCTCCTGGCCAGAGTATTTCTAGGCTGCACAGTTACCAGGCTCCAGTGTGAATTCCCCAGCAAGTCGGATGGCCTAACAGCCCAGTGCCTACACTTTGTGTTTATAGCCTCTGCGGAGAAAGCAGTTAGCTACCCCCCAGCTCTTCCTAAGCAAATATATTTATTCTTAAGGTGAAAGCATTGCACAAAACATTTTAAACCAAAGAACCTACAACCGGACCTCTTACCAGAGATCAGCAAGGGCTCTGTCTGGGGCGGTCAGTCCCCCAACCCCCACCAGGGAGTTTTTCTGTGGTTACGTGTTCATCCAGGCCTTCGCTTGGAACAAGCATCCTGCTGCATGGCCGGCTCCCTCTTTTATCCAGTGTGGCTCTCTGAGCCCCAGAGACCATTGTGATGGGTTCCCCCTGGGCTGCCACTTAAAACTGGGGTACCACTGAGCTCCCCCGACTCACCAGCCTTCCAGCGCACACGTAGGTAGGGGCACACCCAGTTGCAGTTTCAGACAGATGCTAAGATCAGCTCTACGTAGGAGTGCTCAGCTAAGCAATTGCCCAGCACTCAAGTGCACCCCTTCCATGGAGTGTAAACCCAAAATTGTATTGTCTTGTGCTGCACAGAGAACTACAGCGTAAGCGTATGAAATTTTCCTCCTCCCTCAGGTGGAGGAAGATATACACAGCTTTGTGCCCCAGTTATGAATTCTACAACCTGGTTTGAGAAAACAAAAAATTTAACAGCTACAAAAGCTAGATTGTACATTATAATAAAGGGATAGTAAACAAATCCAAGTAGATTACGGAGCAAATAAAACACGTAAACTAAACTCAAGGTACTACAGAAAGTGATAAATGTAGCAAATTCTCATCCTAAATGCTGTTTTAGGCAGATTGCAGATTCTTGGAAGCGAGCTGCTCTTGCTTGCAGCTTAAAACTCCAGGTATTTCTTTCACAGACCTGATGCCCTTCCAGCCTGGGCTCAGCTCTTTATCTTCTCCTCCCCCAAGTCTTTGTTTCTGACTTTTCCAGTCATCTTGGGTGGGGATTCAGTGAAGAATGATCCTGATTATGTCACTCCCCAGCCTTAAATAGGTTTTGCATGGGGCAGGAACCTTTTGTTTTCAAACTTAGTTCCCATGCCAGTCAGTGGAAAAACACTGGTATTCCAATATGGATTCCAGTACCACGGGACTTGATCACATGACCCTGCAATCATAACTGAAAAGTTTATTTGCAGCATCCACAGGAAGCTGAGAGATTAGCATCTTCAAAGACCTATTCTCCCAAATGGTCCATTGATGGTTCCCAGTTAGTCTGATTGCATTCTGTGTGGTGGGCGTTCCCCAAGTGCAAATGCTTGCAGGGACAGATGTATAGTTAATATTCCTAACTTTAGATGCAAAAATGATACATGCATATGAATAGGATAATCAAATCCAGCAACTCATAACCATTTCAATGATACCTCACATGACTCATCTTGCACAAAATACATTGATTGACACAATCATATTATAATATAACTATGAAAAATACAGGAAGCAGTGTCACAACCATGAGTGGGTAATTAGCCAAACACTAGATTTCTCAGGGTAGAGCAATCTGGGATGTTTCCTTTGGCCACCGTGGGCTCCCCATGCTGCTGGCTGCACCCCCTGGTTGCCAGGGCTCTGTGGGGTGCTGGTGGCAGAGATGTCTAGCTCAACAGGAAGGACCAGGGAGTCCTTTCTCCTTGCGCTCAGTCCCTGCCCCCAAAGAGCTGACCACCTGTCTCTGCTCTAGCCTAGCACAATGGGGTCTAGTGCCATGAGTGAGAGGAGGGGGCCTAGAACTACCATAATGGACCTGATACGGTAACTCCTCACTTAAAACATCATTCGGTTAATGTTTCATTGTTACGTTGCTGATCAAATAGGGAACAGGCTCATTTAAAGTTGCACCATGCTCCCTTATAACTTGTTTGGCAGCCGCCTGCTTTGTCCACTGCTTGCAGGAAGAGCAGCCTGTTGGAGCGAGCTGGCCGGGGCTTGGAACCAGGGTGGGCTGGCAGCCCCCATATCAGCTCCCCTAAGATCTTCAAGTGATCATTGGTGAGGCCTCATCTGGAGTACTGTGTCCAGTTTTGGGCCCCACACTACAAGAAGGATGTGGATAAATTGGAGAGAGTCCAGCGAAGGGCAACAAAAATGATTAGGGGTCTGGAACACATGACTTATGAGGAGAGGCTGAGGGAACTGGGGATGTTTAGTCTGCGGAAGAGAAGAATGAGGGGGGATTTGATAGCTGCTTTCAACTACCTGAGAGGTGGTTCCAGAGAGGATAGTTCTAGACTATTCTCAGTGGTAGCTGATGACAGAACAAGGAGTAATGGTCTCAAGTTGCAGTGGGGGAGGTTTAGGTTGGATATTAGGAAAAACTTTTTCACTAGGAGGGTGGTGAAACACTGGAATGTGTTACCTAGGGAGGTGGTAGAATCTCCTTCCTTAGAAGTTTTTAAGGTCAGGCTTGACAAAGCCCTGGCTGGGATGATTTAGTTGGGGATCGGTCCTGCTTTTGAGCAGGGGGTTGGACTAGATGACCTCCTGAGGTCCCTTCCAACCCTGATATTCTATGATTCTGTGATTGCTTATTCCACAATAGGTGTGTGTGCTTGCCACGTGCACCACTGCAGGAAGTTTTTCCCCTAGCAGTACCCATAGGGGGGAGCGCCCCCCCGGGAGTGGCACCGCCGTGGCGCAGTATAAGGAGGGGCTGTGCTCCCCCCACCCTCAGTTCCTTCTTGCTGTTAGTGAAGGTGCAGCGGAACTGCTCTGCTCCAGCTTTGCTGTAGCTTCCCTCGTGGGCTTTGTTAGTTCATAGCTAGTAGCACCTGGAGTTGAAGTAGTTTTTAGTTAGCATAGAGTTAGTCAGTGCACCCAGGTTGGGGCAGGCCCCGTGCCCCAAGCTTTAAGTCGTGTGACACTTGCAAGCAGCTGATGCCAGTGAGTAATCCGCCCGCAGACTGTTTTTGCTGTCTGGGAGAGACCCATCTCAGCGATCGCTGCAAGATTTGCAGATCCTTCAAGCCTCGGACCAAAAGGGACATTCAGCTCCGAGTCATTTTGATGGAGTTGGCCTTGACCCCGGCACCATTGCGCCGCTCCGAGTTGGCACCGAGCACTGCAGCATCAGTGTACGGCGACCCTCTGGTGCCCTCCACCAGCCGGCACTGCTCCCTGTCCACGGGACACTCTAAGAAGAGGTAGTGTCCGCCAAGACACCAGAGCAAGACTAGGGGAGAGACTAGGCCCGCGTTGGGCAGTTCTAGGTCCCCATTACCCTCCCAGCCTCTGACTCAAGTTGAGCGGAGTAGCCTGGCCCACTCCGAGGCTGCCTCCCCGGCCGGCCGGATGCCCTCCATGCTGGAGGCCCTGCAGGCGGCCTGGGACTTTGTCTCTGGTGGTACCAGAGGCACCGCCACCGTTGGCTCCCCGGTCCGGAGGTAAGCCGCTGCTTGGATCCCCGCAGTCACCATCTGGACAGTACCGGTCACGGTCTAGGGAAGGTTCCCGATGCCATTCCCCGCTCAGCAACCGTCCCGTGTACAGTTCGCGCCTGTCACTGTCAACCCCCACCAGGCTGTCTGGCTGAGTACCAACTGGCAGGGGTTCCAAGCATCACTCTGCCTCAAGGGACCATAGACCTCACGAGAGGAACATGTCCCGTCGACACCGGGACAGTCGGCGCTGGAGGTTTTCGTTTCCTAGAGGCTACTGTAGCCCGTCGTACTGGCATAGATGCTGTCCCCTTCACTTGAGGTCCCCACTGCAGCACCGCTCCCTAGTGGTGGAGTTGGTCAACCACAGGGAGAGGCAAGGGCAACCAGCCCCTACTCCCAAAAATAAGGACACACGGAGGCTGGATCTATTTGACAGAAAAGTTTATTCATCCTCCAGTTTCCAATTAAGGGTGGCGAAGCACCAGGCCCTCCTGGGGAGGTATGAGTTCAGTTTGTAGGGCTCTCTGCCCAAATTCGAGGACTCCCTCCAAAAGCGTGACAAAAAGGAGTTCAGGGCTCTGGTGGAAGAGGGTATGGCTGCTGCCAGGGCAGCCCTTCAGGCAGCCTCCAATGGTGCAGATTCGGCTGCAAGGTCCATGGCCTCTGCAGTATCCATGAGGAGGGCATCGTAGCTCCTGCTGTCTGGGTTGTTCAGCGAGGTGCAGAACTCGTTACAGAACCTTCCGTCTGATGGCAAGGCCCTGTTTGCGGAACAGACGGATGTGAAATTGCACGGCCTGAAAGATTCCCGTACAATGTTTAAGACCCTCGGCCTCTATGTCCCAGCCCTGGCCAGGACAAAGTTTTAGCCGCAGCAGGCTCCCACCCAGGTCACCCACTCTAAATATGAGCCCCCTTATAAAAAGTCAAGGGCCTATAAGAAACGCTTAGGAGCAGTGGAGGTGGTACCAGTGGAGTTCAGACAGACAGGTTTCTACTCCCGCTACCTCCTTATCCCGAAGGCCAAAGGGGGGGCTCAGGCCCATCCTGGACCTGCGAGGCCTGAACCAGTATACTTTAAAGCTCAAGTTTCACATGGTCTCTCTGGCCTCCAACATCCTCTCCCTGGATCCTAGGGACTGGTACGCTGCCCTCGATCTGCAGAATGCGTACTTCCATATTCATATATTCGAGGGACACAAACGTTTCATCGGTTTCACTGTTGGGCAGGAATACCAGTTTACAGTCCTCCCATTTGGCCTATCCGCGGCTCCCAGGATTCACAAAGTGTATGTCTGTGGTGGCAGCTTACCTCAGATGTCGGGGTTGGGGGGGGTCCAGATCTTCCCCTATCTTGATGACTGGCTGGTCAAGGGCAGCTTAAGGTTGCAGGTGCAGGACTATGTGGCACTCCTGTCCATGTGCACCACTCTGGGCCTGTTGGTAAACACCACCAAGTCCCCGTTAGTCCCTGTGCAGTGCATAGAGTTTATCAGGGCAGTTCTGGACACGGTGTGGGCCAGGGCGTCCCTCCCACCAGACAGGTTCGAGACCCTGAGGGAGCTCATCAGCACAGTCACAAGGTTCCCCATGACCACAGCCAGAGCATGCCTCCAGCTCCTGGGTCATATGTCGGCGTGCACGTATGTGGTTCATCACACCAGACTCAGGATGCGGCCCCTCCAGCTCTGGTTGGCCTCAGTATTCTCCCAGTCCAGAGACCAGATGGACAAAGTCCTCTCTGTGATGGTGGTCCTCCCTGGGGAACATGCTTCACGGGGTCCCATTCAGGGGCAGGCCCCCATCCATGGAGCTGGTGTCCGATGCTTCGGACCTGGGGTGGGGAGCCCATATGGGAGACGTTCAGACCCAAGGTTCTGTGGTCCATATAGGACCTTGCCCTGCATATAAACACCTAGGAGCTCAGGCGGTACGGCTGGCATGCATGGCCTTCTGCTCACACCTGGAGGGCTGGGTGGTCAGGATTCTCATGGATAACACGGCCTCGATGTTCTACATCAACAGGCAGGGCGGGGCCCGTTCCTCAGCCCTCTGCCAGGAAGCCCTTAGGCTGTGGGACTTCTGCATAGCCCACGACATTTACCACCACTTACCGAGTGCCTTCTCCTCTCGGCCCGAGTGGTCACTACACCCAGAGGTGGATTTCCCAAAAGTGGGGCACTCCCCAGGTGGACCTGTTCGCGAAACAGCAGAACCGCCAGTGTCCCCGCTTCTGCTCCGGGGGGCATTGGGCGTGGGCGCCATCTCTGATGCCTTCCTCCTATCCTGGTAGGGCCAGGTGCTCTATGCCTTTCCCCCGATCCTGCTGATTGACAAGGTCTCAGAGAAGATAAAAATGGACAGGGCCCAGATCCTCCTGATTGGCCCGGCATGGCCCAGGCAACATTGGTACAGGACTCTCACAAGCCTGGCAGTTGCCCTGCCATGGCTGTTACCGTCCCACCCAGACCTGCTCTTCCAGGACCAGGGCTGCCTCCTCCACCCCAACCTAGCGGCACTCCAACTCACAGAGTTGGCTGCTCAATGGTTAGGTCAGGAAGAAAAGACGTGCTTGGAAGGGGTTCAGCGTGTCCTAGTGGAAAGTAGATGCCCCTCCACACGTCAGGCCTATCTGGCTAAGTGGTCTCGGTTTTCTGGCTGGGCGGCTGATCGGGGCGTTTCGCCTGTGGCTGCTCCGATTCAGCTAATTTTAGACTACCTCCTTCACCTTAGAGCCCAAGGCCTAGCACCCTCGTCTGTCAAGGTGCACTTGGCGGCCATATCGGCCTTCCACCCGCTGGTGCAGGGCCACACAGTGTTCTCCCATGCTATGACTGGCCGACTCCTTAAGGGATTGGATAGTCTCTTCCCATACGTTAGGCCCCCAGTCCTTCAGTGGGACCTGAACTTGGTGCTGACCAGGTTGATGGGCCCCCAGTTTGAGCCGCTAGCTACATGCTCATGGTCACACCTCTCATGGAAGATAGCCTTCCTGGTGGCGATCATGTTGGCGAGGTGGGTCTCGGAGCTCCAGGCCTTGACCTCTGAGCCCCCGTACACGATATTCCATAAGGATAAGGTCCAGCTCCAACCACATCCTTCGTTCCTCCCCAAGGTGATCTCTGCCTACCACATGGGTCAGGATATTTTCCTGCCGGTGCTCTGTCCCACACCCAGTGGGTCCAGTGAGGAGCATTGCCTCCACATGCTGGATGTGAGACGGGCTCTGACCTTTTACCTAGACGGTACAAAGCCATCCAGGAAGTCTTTGCACCTGTTCATCGCCTCAGCCGAGCACATGAGAGGTCGGCTGATCTCTGCTTGGCGGCTCTCCAATTGGATCACCTTGTGTATCTGTACCTGTTATGACCTGACAGGAGTCCCCCCCTGCCAATTGTGAGGGTGCACTCTACTAAGGCGCAAGCCTTGTCGGCTGCATTTGTGGCCCATGTCCATATCCAGGACATTTGTAGGGCTGCCACAGGGTCTTCGGTTCACACGTTCACCTCACATTATGCGACCGTCTCCCAGACCAGGGAGGACGCTGGGTTCGGCAGGGCTGTGCTCCGTCCACAGAGTCTGGGAACTCCTACCCACCTCCAACAGATATAGCTTGAAATCACCTATTGTGGAATGCACATGAGCAATCACTCAAAGAAGAAAGGTGCCGAGGGGGTGATGCAGGCTGGGATCACAGGCCGGCTGGAGGCGGGAGCCGACATCTCGATAGGAAATGAGAGAGGGTCGCTCGGGTGGGGATAAGACAGTTACCTTTTCCGTACCTGGTGTTCTTTGAGATGTGTTGCTCGTGTCCATTCCAGAATAGGTGTGCGTGTTCGCCACGTGCACCGGTGCCGGAAGTTTTCCCCCGAGCAGTACCCGTAGGGGAGCGCACCGCACCATGGCAGCACAACTCCAGGGGTCACTAGGGGCGCTCCCCCCCGGGGTGCTGTCTCTCCACTGCCCATCACGCTTGGGAAGAGCTCTCCCTGAACCCCCACAAAGCTGCCTCATTATCCGCCGCCCAACCCCACCCTAAAACTCCCCTTTGCTGCTGTGTTGACAGATAACTCAACACCAGGTAGTGGGTTGATGAGCTGAGACCCCTGCCCACCACGCGGACCAATAGTGTCTCCCTGTCCCTCCTGTCTGCCTGTTTCCACCTGGTGTCTCTTGGCTTATACCCAGATTGTCGGCTCTTTGGGGCTGGGACCATCCCTTTGTTCTGTGTTTGTACTGCACCTAACACATCTGGGTCCTGGGCAGGAGTGCCAGAACCTGTGTAGAAGTGGGGGGGCCACCGGTGCTGGAACCGTGACTCCACCCCTGCTCCGCCTCTCCCCCTGAGGCCCTGCCCCCTGGTCAGGCCAGAAGCTAGAGTCAGGTCATGGTTAGAGCCACCCAGGATGTCCAAGGTGCTCTAGGGAGCACCAGACCCTCCAGCTTCCCTGGGTTGGGGGACCAGGGGGCCCGAGAGCAGCTCCCAGCCTGCCCCCCAGGCAGGTGGATGGTCCAGGGCTCCCAGGACCACTCTTACCACAGCCCAGCTCTGACTTCCGGCTTGGCCAAAGGGTGGGGCCCCATGGCAAAGGGGGGGCTAAGGGCTACCTCAGCCACCCCCCATTGGGAAAAGCCTGGCACCGCTGGCAGGGGCTGCACTTCACAATGGGGCAGCTGATCGCCTGATCAGCCAGCTCCCCCACCATAAAGCGCAGCCCCTGCCGGAGGCTTCTACACCCAAGTAGAACAGCGGGTGCATGTGGCCCTCTGTGACAGGGTTGGGGAAAACCCCGTCCAGTGCGGGGCAAGTGCACCCCATCACGCTCCTGACCCCACTCTATATGCTCTCCCTTCTTAGTAGGGGAGTGTGGCCCAATGGCCAGAGTCAATAAATGGGCCCCAGTCGGCAGGGCAGTAAGGCCCAGTGGCTACAGTTCGTAAGTTCGCTCCAGTGAGACAGGGTAATACGGCCCAATGGCCAGCGTCAATAGATTCGCCCCTGTTAGCGGTGGAGTAAGGCCTCGTAGCCCCAATCAGTGTGTTCGCCCAGGATGACAAGACAGTGAGGCCTAGCAGCCAGAGTCCGCAGATTCGCCCTTCTTGGCAGGGCAGTGAGGCCTAGTGGCTGAAGTCAGTCGGGAAGGGGGCTGTCACACACAAGGAAGGGGGTGGCAGCCCTGGTAGGGGGCGGTGCAGGCTCTCCCTCTCCACTGGACCCCAGCCCAGGGCCCTGGTAGGGGCACAGGCCCGTGCTGCTGAGTCAGCGGGTAGGCGGTTCCGATTGAAACACCCTGACTCCAAACTCCGGTTCGCTAACCAGGCCACTGTCTAATTCCTTTGGGCTTCTTCCTACAGTATTTCCTGTCTCTGTTGTCTCCGGGTTCCCCAGTCTGTGCTGTCCCTGGCGACTCCTGACGCAGCAGGGTCTCGGGGGAACCTTAGCGTCTGCTTGGGTTACAGCGTCTCCATTTTCCATGGCCTCGGGCTTGGGCTGATCTGGAGCCAACAGAGCACGTCCTTCCTCCCCGGCGGTCAGCCCCAACTGAGCTGAGCTGCTCCCTTTTATACCAGTGCACCTGGAGCATGCTCAATAGAGCAAAGGGGGCTTGGCTTCGTCAACTCACAATGGAGGGTTCACCCTGCCCCGTCACAGCCTCCTGGTTCCGGCGCCCCTGCTCCTGGGCCATGAGTGGGGCACTTCACACTACTGTAATACACCTAATAAAGTACAGTGCCTAGCACTCCGGGGTCCTGATCAAGGATTGGGGCTCTGTAAGACAAGTAATAATTGTCTCTTCCCTTGGCCTGCTGCTTCCTTCATCTCCTCCCCGCCCCGGCATTTACACAATCTCCCCCATGTCTGCTGTCTCCTCCTGCTACCCCCACTCCCGTGGCAAGATTGAATCAAGAAGCCAAAGAGCCTGGGAGCTGGCGGGCAGCACCCATGAGGGGTCTCTGAGAGCAAAGCTCGAAAGCTACGGGTTACCGAGAGATGTTGTCCATAGTGTCACAGACCGAGCAGAGGCCCCACCCGGTCCTTCTGCTCTCACTCCTTCCGCACAACCACCAATCCTGGCTGCAGGATCGAACCCTGGTGCCCCCCAGGTCTAAAAGCACAACCTGCTAGTGCACAACCCACGGGGCTAACTTCTTCAGTGCAGCATCTGCCACCTCTGACCAGACTTCCGGAGAGGGCCAGAAAGTCACGCTGCACAGCTGGGTCACATGTCCAGTTACACAGAATCTCTCGTGTTTTATCCAACTGAGATCAGGCGTCACAGAGAACTCGAAACCAAAACCACACGGAGAAGACCTATGGGAGCTTGTCACAGGCTAGCTAACCCTTGAGGACTTGGGCCCTGTGACAGATCAGTGGCCCTCCCAGGTGATCGGCTAGGAACCAGATGGTCTTGTTTCTCTGGTAGACTCTGGAGAAGGGGAACTCCCTGGCAGATGGTCCAGAGGAGGACTGAGTAGAGGGCAGGGAGTCCCGCTGGCCCCTGTGACTGGCCCTGGAAGAAGGGAGAGTCCCAGAGGGGAAAAGCCCTGAGAGTCAGCGGCCTCTGTAGGAGAGTGGGAAAGAACTGACCCTGGAGCCCAGGAAAGGGAAAAGAACTTTTGTTTATGTTTTCTTGGGACTATTAACTAAGTTTGCTACCAACACCTCACTGAGTGGTGCCAAGAAAGCCTCCTGCCTGGGGCACGGGTCACAGGTGCGGACCCCCTCAGTGCTCTGAGGCTGGAGCACCCATGGGGAAAAAATAGTGGGTGCTCAGCACCCACCAGCAGCTGCACCGATCAGCTCCTCCCCTTCCCTCCCAGCTTTTCCCACCCCCATCAGCTCCTCCTCTTCCCTCCCAGTGCCTCCCACCCACCTATCAGCCCCTCCCACACCCTCCCAGCTCCTCCCACCCTCTATCAGCTCTTCCCCTTCCCTCCCAGCTTCTCTCGCCCGCCGATCAGCTCCTCCCCCTCCCCCCGTGCCTCCCGCCCATCGATCAATTCCTCCCACTCCTTCCCAGCTCCTCCCACCCCGATCAGCTCCTCTCCTTCCCTCCCAGCTCCTCCCACCTGCCAATCAGCTCCTCTCCCGCTCCCCCCAGCGCCTCCCGCCCGCCGCGATCAGATGTTCAGTGGCGTACAGTAGGTGGTGGGACATAGGTGGTGGGTGAACCACTGGCTTGGGGAGGCTAGTCCCAGTCCTGGTCCACCCCTTCCTGCTGAGGTGCTGCCCCTCCCGCACCCTTCCCCTCCAAACCCCGACTCCCGCGCAGCAGCCAGCCCCCCGCCCCCAACCCCAGAGCACCGGGCGGGTGGCCCCCTGCAGCACTGGGCTCGTGGGCAGCGCGTGGCCTTGCCCCACTCCCCAGAGCATCGGGCAGGCATGTGGCCCCCAGCCGCAGAGCACAGGGCAGGCAGGTGGGTGGCACGCAGACCCTCTGTCAAGGTTCCTTCCCCACTCAGAACTCTAGGGTACAGATGTGGGGACCTGCATGAAAACCTCCTAAGCTTACTTTTACCAGCTTAGGTTAAAACTTCCCCAAGGTACAAACTATTTTACCCTTTGCCCTTGGACTTCCACTGCCACCGCCAAACTTTATCTGGGTTCCTGAAAAAACGTAGTTTGGAAACATCTTTCCCCCCAAAATTCTCCCAACCCTTGCACCCCACTTCCTGGGGAAGGTTTGGTAAAAATCCTCACCAATTTGCATAGGTGACCACAGACCCAAACCCTTGGATCTTAGAACAATGAAAAAGCATTTAGTTTCCTTACAAGAAGACTTTTAATAGAAGTAAAAAGGAATCACCTCTGTAAAATCAGGATTCATAGATATTAAGGTCAGAAGGGACCATTATGGTCATCTAGTCTGACCTCCTGCACAACGCAGGCCACAGAATTTCACCCACCACTCCTGCGAAAAACCTCTCACCTATGTCTGTGCTACTGAAGTCCTCAAATCGTGGTTTAAAGACTTCAAGGAGCAGAGAATCCTCCAGCAAGTGACCCGTGCCCCATGCTACAGAGGAAGGCGAAAAACCTCCAGGGCCTCTTCCAATCTGCCCTGGAGGAAAATTCCTTCCCCACCCCAAATATGGCAATCAGCTAAACCCTGAGCATGTGGGCAAGATTCATCAGCCAGATACTACAGAAAATTCTTTCCTGGGTAACTCAGATCCCATCCCATCTAATATCCCATCACAGGCCATTGGGCCTATTTACCATGAATATTTAATTACCAAAACCATGTTATCCCATTATACCGTCTCCTCCATAAACTTATAAAGTTTAATCTTAAATGGATGGTAGACACCTTACAGGGTAATTAGATTCAAAACATAGAGAATCCCTCTAGGCAAAACCTTAAGTTACAAAAAAGACACACAGACAGGAATATTCACTCTATTCAGCACAGCTATTTTCTCAGCCATTTAAAGAAATCATAATCTAACACATAGCTAGCTAGATTACTTACTAAATTCTAAGACTCCATTCCTGTTCTGTCCCCGGCCAAAGCATCACACAGACAGACACAGACCTTTTGTTTTTCTCCCTCCTCCCAGCTTTTGAAAGTATCTTGTCTCTTCGTTGGTCATTTTGGTCAGGTGCCAGTGAGGTTACCTTTAGCTTCTTAACCCTTTACAGGTGAGAGGATTTTTCCTCTGGCCAGGAGGGATTTTAAAGGGGTTTACCCTTCCCTTTATATTTATGACACCCTCCCTTCCCAGCACTGGAGTGGCTGGTAGCTCGCAGTCCCCCCTGCCCTGGAGCACTGGGCAGCGTGGCCCCAGTGCCAGGAGCCCCCCCAGCACTGGGCAGCCCCAGCTACCCCATGTCCCAGCTGCCCCAGCCTCAGCCGGCTTCCCTTCCCGGAACAGGAGCAGGGCTGGGAAGAGGCGTTTTAAATGAGTGCAAATAGTGGATTCTCTGTAACTTGACGTCTTTAAACCCTGATTTGAGGACTTCGGTAACTCAGCCAGAGGTGAGGTCTGTTACAGGAGTGAGTGGGTGAGGTTCTGTGGCCTGCGATGATGCAGGAGGTCAGACTGGGTGATCACCATGGACCCTTCTGGCCTTAAAGTCTGTGAGTCTATGTCAAGGCTGGGGGAGGGGCTGGTCATTTTCCTGACTAACCGTTTTTAAACGGGGAACCGGCGCCTCGGGGAAAGCGGAGCCCTCGCCGGGAACGCGGCGGGTTTGGCCCCTTTCTCAACTGGAAGCCTTTTAAAACAACTTTTGGGTGGAAATGGGGCCTGGGGGCGTGTTCCAAAGGCTAACGTCCGCCGGGCCACTCGCCAGCAACGTTTCACTTGAAGCTTTAACTGGAGTTTTAAACACATTCTTTAAAAGGGTCGAAATCAGAAGGAAACATTTTGATTGGCCCGAATGTGGAGCGAGGGGGTCGACCTCCCTCCAGGGTTGTTCCACGCCGAGTGGCAGCATCAGCCACTGGGCCATGGAGGCTGGGAGAGCCAGGCCCAGGTGAGGTGTGAATGGGGAGGATGGGACACACAGAACCCCTGGGGGTTGGGGCAGGTGGGAAATGGACAACGGATGCTGGTGTGGAAGAAGCCGATGCCAGAGCTAAGCGTGGACTTTTTGTGTCATTGGGATGGATTAAGCTTCGGACTCTGGGTTCTCCTAAGCTGGTCCCGATATTAAACCAGCCCCCAGCTGGGGTATCGTTCACCAGGGAAAGCCTCTGGGTGTTTTAAAGGGCCCTAAAGAGAGGAAAAACGGGGGGAGCCTGCCGAGAGAAGGTGCTCAGGTAGCAGCCATCCTGTTACAAAGATTGTGAGGCGCCGATCCTCAGAGGTACCCAACTCCCATTGGATTTACAGGGCTCACTCAGCGTCGCTGATCAGAAAGCTCGAGAGGGGCTGTGAGTACGGTGGATAAGCACCGAAGGAAAATCCCAGGGGCTAACTGGCTCTTGAAGCTAGCAGAGAAAAGCGACCAATGGCTGGAAGCTGAAGCCAGACAAATTCGACTTAGGAAGAAATTTTTTAGCAGGTAATTGACCATCGGAGCAAACTCCCAAGGGCCGTGGTGAAGTCTCTATCTTTAGTCAATCACAAGTGATTGGGCTGAACGCAGGGGAATGATCCTGTGCTATACAGGAGGTCAGACTGGATGGGCTAATGGTTCCTTTTAGCCTTACACTCTACAGATCTCCAAGACAAAGCTAGGGAAACGACGGTCCTGCTGTGCGCGCGGATGGGGCTAGGCCCCAGAAACTGGATGCCAGTAAATTTACAGGCCTCCTGAGGTCCTAGATCAGGGGTCTCAAACACGTGGCCCATGGGGTTATTTTCTGCGGCAAGCCAGCTCCCCGGTTCCCCCCCGCCCCTCCCCAATGCTTACCTAGAGCGGCTCCAGCCTGGTGCGCACCGGGGGCAGGGCAGGGCAGGGCAGGGCAGGGCAGGGCAGGCTCCCTCCCTGCCTGCCTGCCCTGCCCCCGCACCGGAAAGTGCCCGGAACCTGGGGGAGGGAGGGGCACAGGGGTCTGTGTGTTGCCCTGGTCGTGCCTCCAGGTACCTCCCCTGAAGCTCCCATTGGCCGTGGTTCCCTGTTCCCAGCCAATGGGAGCTGCGGGGGCGGTGCTTGGAGGCACGGTCAGGCAACACACAGACCCCCCCCCCGGTTCCAGCCACTTCCCGGAGTGGCGTGGGGGCAGGGCAGGCAAGTGGGGAGCCTGCCCTGCCCCTGGTGTGCGCCAGGCCGGAGCCCACCCCCCGAACCCCCTGCCCTGAGCCCCCTGCTGCACCCCTCCTGCACCCTGATACCTGTCGCACCCCACAGCCCTCCTGAACCCCAACCCCCTGCCCTGAGCCCCCTGCTGCACCCTGCACCCCTCCTGCACCCCGACCCCCTGCCACACCCCGCACGTCTCCTGCACCCTACCCCCTGCCCTGAGCCCCCTGCAGCACCCTGCACCCCTCCTGCACCCCGACCCCCTGCCCTGAGCCCCCTGCTGCAACCTGCTCCCCTGGGGGCAGGGAGGGGGCGGAGTTGGGGTGGGGATTTCGGGGAAGGGGTTGGAATGGGGGTAGGGCCAGGGCAGTGGGGGCGGGGGGTCAGTGATGCGGCCCTCAGGCCAATGTACTAGTCCTCATGTTGCCCTCGTGGTCATTTGAGTTTGAGACTCCTGTCCTAGATGATGCTTGTGATGTTGCACCCCATAATGCTTTATAGAAATATGCTTATGAGTGCAAATATGACATAACTGGAATATGTTTTATGCTAGATATGCCATGTAACATATCTTTGCAAAGGTTATGTTCTACTGACTGTATCCATCCTATTTGTATGCATGTATCATTTTTATATCTGAAGTTATGAGCTCTATGCTTGCATTTAAAGTGTTTGCTGTAGGAAGCACATAAGGCAGATTTGGTTAACAGCTTGTGAAGGCTTATTCAAGTAATGGGGAGTACTTAGCTAACAATGGACCTTGGGAGAGGCCAATCCACATTTGAGCTTTCCTGGGAACGCTCAAACTAACATGAAACAATGGTGTTGGCCTGCAAAAAGCTGAATCATTCATAGACATGTGACTTGCCCAGGTGACTGCAAAACTCCATCTTGTTGACGAGATTTTACACAGGAGAAGAGAGGGGTTTCCACCCACAAGAGAGAGACTATATAAGCCGCTGGAAACCCCTCCATTTTGTCTTCAGCTGGTTCAAGAGATAGCCTCTCCACCCCAAAGAGATGCCTGAAAGAAACTGGAACAAAGGACAGTAACTACGGGGTTGTGAGTGATTGCTGGACCCAGACTAGGAAAGAGGCTAGTCTGTCAAAGAAGTTTATTGGAACATCTCTGATGGTGAGATTTACCTGCATTTAGTTTCCTACTGTATTAGGCTTAGACTTGCGTGTTTTTGTTTTATTTTGCTTGGTAACTTACTTTGTTCTGTCTGTTATTACTTGGAACCACTTAAATCCTACTCTTGATATACTTAATAAAATCACTTTTTACTTATTAATTAACCCGGAGCAAATATTAATATCTGGGGGAGTGAACAGCTGTGCATATCTCTCTATCAGTGTTATAGAGGGTGAACAATTTATGAGTTTACCCTGTATAAGCTTTATAGAGAGTAAAACAGATTTATTTGGTGTTCGGACCCCATGGGGAGCTGTGTATTTGAGTGCTGGAGACAGGAACACTCCTTAAGCTGTTTTCAGTTAAGCCTGCAGCTTGTGGGGGACGTGGTTCAGACCTGGGTCTGTGTTTGTAGCAGGCTACTGTGTCTGGCTCAACAAGGCAAGGTACTGAAGTCCCAAGCTGGCAGGGAAAACGGGCTCAGAGGTAGTCCTAGCACATCAGGTGGCAGTCACAAGGGCATCTCTGTGACCCAACCCGTCACAGTGCTTCCAAGTTCTGTGCAGGCCCAGTATTCCTTGGCCTCCACTGCAGCAGTGGAGATGCTCGGTGAAGCACTGTGCCTTGCAGGAAAAGAAAGGATAAACTAAGCGAGACCCAAAGCTGAGTCTCCATGAATGAGATCAGAGTGTGTGTGTGTCCCTGTGCCCAGAGCAATGCCCGCAGAATGACTGCTGGACTCTTCGCCCTGCAGGAGGGCTTAGGTTACAGAGAGCATGACCATTTCACAGCTTGGTTTTGTTTTAGAAATATCAGACTTAATGGGTCTTTTCTTCCTTGCTTTTCTTGAAGCCGCCCTTGGAAGAGCTACGGAAGCAGATATTTTCTTAGCCCTTCAGCCAAGGAGCAAGGGCTGGGGGATCTGCAAGTTAGAGCTTTACAAAGAACCTTCAACAAAGACATCTTTTCTCCCTACGGTGGCTCAGGTGTTTGAGTTAAATGAGTGTTTCATGAAAAACAATCCAAGGTTTCAAAGAGCCTAAAACCAAATCTGATCCTGTCTCAATTAATCAGATGCCATTTCCCCGGTCACAAACCATACAGCTTTTCAGGAAAAACAGGGCAGGGGAGAGGTGGCTCTCAGGGATGTGCCCAAAGGACTGACTCATCGACTGCGTTAAAGCAACAAGAGACAGACACAGAAGTAAGCAGGAAATTCTGCGCCTCACCAGCTGGATACTGAAACCTGGCGAGAGGATTCCCGTGACTGGCATGTTAAAAATCCGTGGTTAGAACCTATTGAGGAAGGTTCAGGAGCGCAAAGGGGGAAGGAATGTCAAAAATGGCATTACTTGTTTCTGAGTCACTGGCAACTCGGAAGCAAATGATCTTAAATGCTTATGGATCAATGTCCTAAAAGGTAACACACAAGACGGACTACTATTGGGGTTGGCTAGAGATGCCCCAAACCATTTGATTTGTTTGGTTACAGTTTTGACAGAGATCCATGTTTATTTTAAACTAGTTTTAGATTTTTATTTGTTTGAATGTTCAGAGTTGCAGGAAATTATGATGGGGTGGGGGTGGGGGAGAGAGTCAGACAATTACTTAACATCAGTACATGCTGAGATTCAAAAAGTTAATGCTTTAGAAACCATTAAAAGACAAGTTATCAACATCACATGTCAAAATATACAAAGTAACTATCTCTTAGTCAACAACTCATACCTTACTATTATTCACTAGTCTATTTATAAGAACATAAGAACGGCCATACTGGGTGAGACCAACAGTCCATCTAGCCCAGTGTCCTGTCTTCTGATCTTTGGCTGGGAGCTGCAGGGGTGGTGCCTGCGGACAGGGCAGTGCACAGAGCCGCCTGGCTACACCCCTGCATAGGAGCCGGAGGAGGGACATGCTACTGCTTCCAGGAGCTGCTTGAGGTAAGCGCCGCCTGGAGCCTGCACCCCTGACCCCCTCCTGTGACCCAACCCCCTGCCCTAGCCCTGATCCATCTCCCGCACCCCAAGCCCCTGCCCAAGCCTGGAGCCCCCTCCTGCACCCTGAACTCCTCATTTCTGGCCCCACCCCAGAGCCTGCACCCCTAGCCAGAGCCCTCACCCCTCCCACACCCCAACCCCAATTTCGTGAGCATTCATGGCCCTTGGGCCAAATATTTTGCCCTCCCCTGTTCTAGAGCCTAATGTACAGTGCTGAGCACAACAGGATCCTGGCGCGGGGGCTGATTTAAGGAAATGGTTCTTAAGCTTGCTAGGATTAAAGGCTTGTGATGTTAGCACGAGGCCCGGTGGCGGGGGCTGGGGGGGGGGGGGAAGGGAAGTTATGCTGACGGCTGGGAGGTAGCTGAATACTGTAAATCTAAGGAGATGACCTGTCCTAGGTCAGATATTTTACACTCTCCTCATCTACCAGCGGATAACCATGAAGTGCTCCAGTACACCACAGGATTCTGCGAGACGGGAGTGTTGGGGGCCTTTAGCAATTAAGTTGCCATGCAATGACTAAGCAGTTAGACCGCATTTACATACAGGAATTAAGAAATATGTGATGCAAATCATGAATATTAATGCTTAATATTGTGGAATTCCCAAAAGCTTCATATGGATCAAGTCAGCTAATGACCTTATTATAATCAGGGTTAAGGATCAAATACGGTTCAAAGCCATGCTGTTACCACAAGGAAGGGTATAAAATACCACCCCCACTTCCCATTTCTTTGGCTTTGTCGGATCCCAGAAACAGTGTAAACGGAATCAGGACCTTCCTTCTGGTTGGCACCGCTTTCTTCCCCTTCCATCTCTGCTTCCAGCGGTCCCCGTAAGCTGTAAGTATGCACAATGCAGGACGGGAAGTATGAGCCATGCCAGAACCTACTTTACTGTGCTTATTCTAACCATTGTGTGTATAGATCCTTGCCCAGGATATTCTGTGTATTAAATACCCTTTCTGGGTGTGTTTCACCAGCTGCCATCTTCTCAGTTAACTGTAAAGTAAGAAGAACAGGAGTCCTTGTGGCACCTTAGAGACTAACAAATTTATTAGAGCATAAGCTTCTCTGTATACAGAGAAGGTGGAAGTTGCCATACATAAAAAAAAAAAAAACTTTTGTAGTGATAATCAAGTTGGCTACAGAAGTTTTTTTTTTCTCCTGCTGCTAACAGCTCATCTTAATTAATTAGCCTCTTGCATCCGATGAGGTGAGCCGCAGCCCACGAAAGCTTATGCTCAAATAAATTTGTTAGTCTCTAAGGTGCCACAAGGACTCCTGTTCTTTTTGCGAATACAGACTGACACAACTGCTACTCTGAAACCTCTTACAGTTTGTATGGCAACTTCCACCTTCTCTGTATGTGTATATATATATCTTCTTGCTATATGTTCCATTGTATGCATCCGATGAAGAGGGCTGTAGCCCATGAAAGTTTATGCTCTAATAAATTTGTTAGTCTCTAAGGTGCCACAAGGACTCCTGTTCTTTTTGCGGATACAGACTAACACGGCTGCTACTCTGAAACTATAAAGTAGCCGCACAGGACAAGAACCTGCCATTTGTGATAGGGGCAGGTCACCCCCCAATACACAACCCGGTCAGTGTAATCACTGTTCAGGCTGTCAGAGGAGAGATAAGAGAGAGTTCTG